TGTGAGTTCAAGGCCAGCCTGGTCTACATAGCCAGTTCCAGGGCAGCTGGGGCTACAGGGAGACCCTGTCTCAAAAAGATAAAAAAAATTTTTTTTCAGGTATTTATTTATTTACTTATTTATTCATTTATTTACTTATTTATTTATTTATTGCCATGGTGTGCATGTGGTGGTCAGAGACAACTTTCAGAGTCAGGTATCTCCTTCTTTCTGTGGGATATGGGGAGCAAACTCAAATTGTCAAGTTTGGTGGTAAGCACCTTTTCCTGCTGAGCCATCTCACTGACCCTAGAGATAACATTTGATGACATATTTAAAAAAATTATTTTGGTCTTTTTGAGACAGGGTTCCCCTGTAGCCCCATCTGGCCTGGAACTTGCTTTGTAGAACAGGCTGACCTTGAACTCACAAAGATCCAGCTGTTTCTGCCTCCCAAGTGCTGGGATTAAAGGTATGCACCACCATGCCCAGCGACATATTAAAATTAAAATAAGAAAAAGTACTGACTGATGAAATTTTGTCATCATTGCTAAACCAATTAGCTATCAGACATTTTTCTCCAGACTAAACATGGTGTTCCTGAAATGCCAGGAGCACCATGTCCCAAAGTGTTCAATAATTGTAGTTACTCTGAGCATTCTCTCTTTACTCTACAGGATCTGCCTTTCCTCTTTTTTTATTCTGAAAAACCCTTCGAGGTATAAAGAAAATGATTAACCTTTGCTAATTAATTTGTGTTCCATGTAATTTTTAAATTCTGTAGATAGCAAAAAAATTTCAACACTGAAATCAGTCTCATTTCAAAAAGGTTTACTCACACTTGTTATATAGCAAATTGTTAGTTATATTAGGGTCTCATTTTGTCAATTCAAAATTCAATGTTTTCTTCAAAAGAACAGGATACGAGACAATTTTTAAAAGATCCCTCACATTAAGTGACCTAGCTATCTACTGAACGTTTGTCTTTTTTAGACAAATAGAAAAACATCTGTCTTTTCCTTATATATATACTGGGCAATTTACTTAAGAACATGGCTCACCTTATCAGAACAAGTATTATCATCAGGTCCGCCACCAATCACAAACAATTTTCCTACACAGCTTGTCACAGCAGGAGAGCTCACTGCTTCTTTAAGGGGAGCAACTTCTGTCCAACGATTTGAAAAGGAATCGTAACACTCTACGCTGCTAAGTCTGTTCTGCCCATCGTAGCCTCCGACAACATATACCTATATGTAGAACACACAGAAAAGAATCTTAATTATCACAAGTCTAAATTTTGGTCTAGTTGGCTAAAAGAATTAAGAATATTAAAGTTCTCATGAAAGTCCTTGATAGGGGCTGGAAAGATTGCTCAGTGGTTAAGAGCACTGGCTATTCTTGCAGAGGACAGGGTTCAGGTCCCAGCATACACTTGATGGCTAACAACCATCCTGAATGCCTTCTCCAGGGGAGTTGATGCCCTCTTCTGACCTCCATGGGCATTGCATGCATGTGGTGCACTTACATAAATGCAGGCAAAATACATACACATAAAATAAAAATATATAAAAACATTAAAGTCCTTAATAACTGTAATTGCAATGTGTTCAGCTCAAAGTTCTGACTATTTTCATTTTTAGCACCCCTCCTCCCATCACCATTAAGGAGTCTTTTCAGGCATTTCTTCTTTCAATAGCCCCCTTCAATGAAATTTTTTTTTAATTTTATTATTTTTATTTTATGTGTATGCGTGTATTGCCTGCATACAGGTAAGTGTACCCATGTCATGCAGTGCCTGTGGAGGTCAGAAGAGGCTGTCAGATCCCCTGGAACTGGAGTTACGGACAGCTGTTAGCTGTGGACAAGGTGGGTGTTGGGATTCAAACCTGGGTCTTCTGCAAGAACAATCAGTGTTCTTAACTGCTGAGCCATCTCTCCAACCCCCAAATTTTAATTGACAGATATATTGTGTATTTTTTAACTTACTGCATATCCATGCTTTGTATATAAATGCTTAAAACAACAACAACAACAACAAAAACTCCTGTTCAAGAACAAATCTTCACCACACCCTTCAGGATAAGTTTTTTTATGTTATGTTCATTCAAACATGAAGTATTTGATTATTACAAAGTAATGAAGCTATGAAATTAAAATACTGTCAGGATTACTAGTGTGTGAGGGCTCCAAAGGCAAGGCTTATCTTTTAGCACCTACAGTGTCTACAAAGTACCTGATACACACTGAGCTCAAAGAGCTTCCATACACAACTAAAAGGTGGGGAAATACCTCTGCATGACAGTTAAGCCAATAAATAAGACAGCTATTTGGTTTACATGCAGAATAACCCATTATGAATCATGGGATGGATATATTACAAACTTTTAAATCAAGTTTTCCAGTTTAACAGCCATGTTTCTTTTACTGAACAATCATCATCAACTCTACTTGCCATATCTAACTGTAAAGTCCAACTATGTCTTCCACAGCCTCTCTCATACCTGTCCCTCCCTTCCTTGGTTTCCCATTGTCACCACCCAACTTGAGGCTTCACATCATTTTATGAAATATATACTCAAAATCTCATATCAACCTTTCTAAAACATTTCATCAGTTCCTTTTAATGGCTCACCAATGAATGCATAAGGTGCAAAGCCAAACTTCACTCCTTGTAATTCAATTCTAACATTTGTGTGCCTTGAAATCTCAGTAGCCAATGCCACTTCTATTGTACACTTTTCACACTATGTATATTTCCATCCTGCCTCCAAAAAATGTAAACGTACAGGAGAGGTGGCTTAACCCTGAAGGGCTCTTGCTGCTCTTTCAGGGGACTGGAGTTGAGTTCCCAGCACCCACATTAGGCAGCTCAGAACTGCCTGTAACTCTAGCTCCAGGAGCTCTGACACTCCCTCCTCTGAGGGCACTTCCACACACATGTATATACTTAAAGAGACAGATACAATTACATATTTTAATTATATTCTCCCCTCCCTCATTTGTGTTTTTGAGGCAAGGTCTCACACTGTAGCCTAGGCTGTCCTCAAACTTCGGGCAATCCTCCTGTTTCAGGCTTCCAAGTCTACATTTACCAGTGTGAGATATAATGCCCTGTAGGAGGAAGTGCTGACAGGCCTGGTAAACATGCTATCGCGCATGTGCAACAGTTACTTCCCCTTAAGCCAACCTGAAATCTGCCTGACCAGGGAGAAACAGCTGACGCAAGAACACATAACGAGAGAGACCACTGAGAGAGAGACAGCGCAGCTCGGAGCAGCTGAGGGACCAATGGGACACCGGGAGGGGGTATATAGGCATGCCCAATATCTGCAATAAACGAGTCTGTTTTGCCACTTGCCGGACTCCTGGAGTCTGTGCCGTTGACTCTGCGCCTTCTTACCCCCACCCCCAAGGGGCTCGGGAGTGGGTGGTGGCAACATCTGGTGCCCAACATGGGGCTTTCTCACGCTGGAGAAGTCCCACCGAGTCCCCTTTTTCTTCGTGGCATGGTTTGGTGCCCCATTTGGTGTATTTTTGGTAAGTTGGCCCCTTTGCGTTTTGTGTTCTTTGCCCTCTCGAGAGGTAAGCATAAGGGTCTCTCTCTCTCTTTATGTTCATTTGTCTTAGTGTTAGGAAGGTATACTCTTTTGGTTTCGGTTCGCCTGGCATCTCCACATAAGGGATGACCCCCAGGAGATGGAACCTGGACTGTTCTCCCGAAAGACGCTCCCAGATGGGAGACACTGTGTGGGCATACGGCTGTGGCCTGATGAACCACAGAAGTCCCCCACTAAGCACAAGACATTTTGGTCCAACACACACTCTGTTTTGTCTGTCTAAGGTTCACCGAAATGGGCAACCTTCCCTCTTACTGTAAGTAACCCAGGTCCGTGCCCTGAAATCCCTCTTAGTTACCAGAGGGCTCAAGGTTAAGTCTGCTGAGTTGGAGGACTTTTGGAATGAGGCTGCAATCTTGGCCCCTTGGATATCCCCAGAAAATATGTGGGAACCAGACTTATGGATGCGAGTCCTCTTTCTCACAAGAAAGTGCGAGATAGGGTCAGGGGTTATCTCTTCTGCTCCTTTTGTTCCCATCCTGCTCGCTATTATAGCCTGTCTTAAGTCCTCCTCCCCAGAGGAGGTCATTGCCGCCCACAACAAATACTGTCAAGAGCAAGCTAATGCCAATCTGTCCATTACCTCACCACCTGCCGGCGCTGGGTCAGTGAGAGGCTCCGGGACAACACCCTGAGGTTTACCCCATTAATGTAGGGCCCAATGCAGCAAATCAGCCCTGGATACCTACCCCTCTTACAGATCTCTCCTTGATTTGAAAGGCAACGAATGAGTCAGGCCCAGATTCTCCCTATTTTGAGCAGGTCTTTCGCAAATGGGTCATTCAACTGCAAACCCATTATGATTGGTATCACCTTCTTAGAGCCGTCCTGGAGCTCTCTGCATTCCTTAACTGGTGCTCTGCCTATGATGACCAGGCCGAAACACAGGCTCAGCTCAATCTCTAATATGGCCTCAATATAACCCTGGATATGCTCACGGGTTGTGGTCAGTACACTGACCCTGTTTCCCAGTCTACAATAGGTGCCTATGCTTACTTTCAGCAGGTATTGGATCTGGCCTTCAAGGCCCTTAAAGCATGTACCCCGAGGGACCTGTCTGCATACTTTCGCAATCTCGTCCAACAATCCAGGGAATCTTTCACTGACTTTCTTACAAGAGTTCCAGAGGCAGTTGAACGTAGGGTCGATCCTGGCCCTACACGAGATATGCTTATCAAACAATTAACCTGGGAAGGCCTCAATGCCCCCACTTGTAATGTGGTGGCAGCTGTCCACAATGATGATATCCACAAATGGGTTTTAGCTACCAGAGATCTCGATCCTGCCTCCAGTCCCATTGCAGCTCTGACCGCCTCCCTTGATGCCCTCTTGTCAGACAGACAGCGATCCAACAACTGCTCAAAGGGGGCCAACCCCCCCATCGCACCTGCTGGGGCTGTGGCAAACTTGGCCACCTGCACCGTGATTGTCCCAATGTGTGTCCTAAGACCCGCAGGCCAAAATGCAACAAGGGCTTTCACAGGGCCCGCAACTACCACTCCCAGCCCTCAGGCGCTCAATAACCCAACAGAGCGAATTTAAACTCCCAGCGAGGCAACCCTCAGCCCCGCCAGTAAGAGGGTCAAGTTCCAACCCCAAGGTATATTGGAATCTGCCTTTTTTCCCTCACTCACCCATGATGACTGTTTATCTTGATGGTCTGCCCGTTAAAGGGCTGGTTGACATGGGAGCAGATGTCACCATCCTCATGGAAACCGAGGCACTCAGATTCCCTCACTGGAAGTTTAAGCCAGGCCCCCCAGTCACCGGAATGGGAGGCCAACAGGCTACCAGGGCTACAGCCCAGCTGGTACATTGGAAGGATCTTGACGGCAACCAGGGCTCATTTTTCCCAATAGTGGCTAATGTCCCTCGCAATCTTTGGGGAAGGGACATTTTGGAGGACATGGGAACAGTCCTAACCACTGACGACTGTGCCTTCTTTAATGATATCATTACCCATGACAAGATAGGCCTCTTGGGATGTCTGGACCATTCCCAGAACCACCCCCAATTCTAGAGGCCACTGCCCACCATGAGCCATTGCCAAAGATAGCGCCAGATCCCATTCCCTTGACTTGGCTCTCAGATACAGACGTCTGGGTGGAGCAGTGGCCAATCACTGACCCAAAGTTGTCTGCCCTTAAGGAACTGGTCAAGGAGCAACTCTGGTTGGGATATTTAGAGCCCTCGACAAGCAGACATAATACTCCTATATTTGTTATAAAGAAATGGTCAGGTAAATATAGACTCCTACAGGATTTAAGAGCAATCAATGAACAAATGGAAAAAAATGGGAACCACCCAAGCAGGCTTGCCACACCCTAGTGCTATACTCCCCTCTTAACATGTTATGGTTTTAGATATTAAGGACTGCTTCTTCCAAATTCCCCTCATGCCCCAGGATAAATGTCACTTTGAATTTACTGTCTGGGAACCCAATATGCAGAGGCCTGCCAAGAGATATCAGTGGACTGTCCTCCCCCAGGGAATGAAGAATAGTCCCACCATCTGCCAGCTCTATGTGAATGAGGCTCTCTGCAATGCCCCTGAGGATGTCTTGCTTGTCCACTACATGGATGACATATTGGCCCACCCCATGTTGTCCCGACTCAAGGAAGTATTTTCTA